GCTCGTTTGTCATACCTTGTGGTTGTATAAGAGTGGAGACAACATCTCTCAGGAGGGTCAATGTTTGGACCAGGAAATAATGATTCATTAATTTGGATTATTTTATGCAAAATTCTGTGAATTGTGAGACACAGCATATTATTGTGAATGAGGAACATGTTGTTTGGAACAGGAAAGGAAACACATAATGTTTATGTAACGTGAATGACTATCGGAAGGAAATACAGTAATTGTAGGAAAAACCGTCAATGATTGTGAGTGAAGAGCTTACACATAAACTCTACATTGACATCAGTAGCAGTAAAACTACACATGACATATGTGTCGTACCACACAATAAGTGACTGCTGTGAAGACTGTATTTTAGGAGTGTTTTGATTTCTTGTTGAGATCCCTTTGGACTGTCAGAGTTCACATAATGGTCCACATGTCGTCCATGGTTGCTCTGGGTGTTAACATACCCTCGTTCCACGGAGGGGACCAGAAATGTCCCACCCACCATAGGATCCTGTCAGCAAATACTAGTGTAGGGGTCGGATCACCTCGATCCCCCGTCTGTCGGAGATGGCATTGTAAGTGTTACCAATTACATTATTGTATCAAGTTTGTTCAGATTTTTAAATATATTGTTACATTATATTGAATTCATGATCGGGCCATATTTTTACCAGAAAAATATGAAGAGTTATGTATGTTTTCTGTCTTTATATAATAAACAAAAATGTTTACATTGTTTTATCATTAAGACAGCACTTGGCAAACTGATGCAATCAAAATTTTGGAATTTTCAAAAAAGAAGTCTTTGCTTGTATCGAATTGCAATATGTAATTGATAACAACTTCAGAATAAAGGTTCTTAATTGATCTAATGTTTTAAATTTCAAAAAACAAAAAAATAATTTTAAACTTTATTAAAATCTCCTGAAGTTTAAAGAAATCTGTAATAAGTGTTAAATTTAGACATAAGCTGATCATAAGAACCTTGTACTATAGAAAATTGTCCACAACAATTTTCTTTCCGAAACAAATTTTTGGTGTTTTATTTCTATACTGTTTGTTATGTTATTTTCGTGTAAACCTGGCTTACGTCTTACCGATTTCTGGCGGGACTGGAATTTGTCTGACATTAATGTGAAATGTTATTCTGCATTTGCATTGGCACAGCCATGTTTGTTTTGGCACCAGGCTGGATTCTAAAGCTGCATATTGTACATGGAAAGCCTCTCAAACAAATTCCTTACTTGTATTCATTAGTGAAGAAGGCACCAAGGTGTTTCTATAAATACAGTACCCTGTAGACTCGGTTCCAAGGCATCGGCTAAAGTCAGGCTACCACCTCTGTTAGATAGCATTAGGGGGCTAAATTGTTTTTTCCTGTTTAGTGTAGGGAAATTAGCGTGAAATTACTTTCCTCAATGGCAGACCATCCTTAATGGCATACCTATACCGCAGGTAAGGGCTTGCAGTTGTTGTCATAGGAAAGGTCAGGAGAGGCTAAAGGTCATGAGTTCATGATTGTAGGAAGTAAAGGAAATCTAAGAAGAGATTAATTGCACTTAAAATAAAAATATGTTTTTGACAAGTAGAATGATGGAAAACAATGTAATGTTTACCTGTTGCTTTGGGGACAGTTACTGAATGTATAAATCATCTCACAGCACTTCATGCAAGTGATGTACAGACTTGAGCTACTTAAAAGTTTGACATGTAGTGTTAATTTGTAAGCCTACGTGGGAATGGTATACACTCCGTGGGACAGTGGTAAACTTTATGACTAGCTCTATACACTCCGTGGGACAGTGGTAAACTTTATGACTAGCTCGAGTGCTGGTCGTACAAACAAAGCTTATCTTTGTAATAAGCATCTCAAGTCTTTGACTGACAAGTAAATTATATAAAATGAAAAACCTAAATCCTCTAGCCTTGAAATGGGGCTATTTTTATCATTTTTCCATTTTGCTTTTAAGACCTTAATTGAAATCATCATGATGTATTTAGTGTTCTTGTTTCAAAAAAGAAATTTTTATTTGATGAAATTTATTTTTCGTATTTCAAGAAGTTGTGTTACCATGATTACATCTGGTTGCTATGACGACTTGAAGTTACAAACAGCAGAAACCAACTAATTCTAGCTGTAATGCATGCAGACATCATTTGATTTTGACAAGAGGATGTGAACAGAAAGCCTGTAAGCCCCTGTCTATCCTTTTCACCAACCTTCCACATTTTACCTCTAAGCGTTTGAGAGTGGTCGAGTGTCTGGGAGATGATTTGACAGCGTCAGAGAGATAGCTAGCCGATTTCATTCAACGATATGTGTTTTCAACCAAGGCAAAATGCCAACATATTTCTACACTGAAAAAATAGGTTATCTTGGTATACATTAAAACTGCAGAATTTCACGTTTTTTTCTTTTTTTTCGCGCTTGCCAGCCGAAGAATCAATCTTCTTACATTCAGCTAATTTGCCATTAGTTTTTTTATTTAAGTTTGAAGTATTCTTCACTGTAACATCATGTTACAGAGGCTGTTATTTGAGATTGTATGTAGGATAATGGAGGTTTTGTACAATACAGAAGACTGCAGTGGTCGGTTCTAAACAGATGTTACTTTACAGCACTGTCGGCTCTATAGCCAGCTGTACTGGACAGACATACAGGGAATAAAGACAGTAAAACAGGTGGACATACAAGGGACAAAACAGATGAACAGACAGACATGGGACAAAACAAATGGACAAAGGACAAAACAGGTGAACAGACAAGGGACAAAACAGATGAACAGACAGACATGGGACAAAACAGATGGACAGACAGATATACATATTGGACAAAACAGATGGACAGACAGACACACACACATATTGGACATAAGGCAGGATGAGTGAAGAAAACAGTTTAAAATATTTGGACAAGGCAGTTTTTTTATTGAGAAAATACTTGTAACACACAAATGACAAAAACATTTTAACAAATAGATACTGTAAGGGGGTCATTTTTGTGGTGTCAATATTTACCTCTTTGACTTGAAATGCCTTTTTTAGTTTTTGCAAGTTGTTCATTTTTGCTTGTTCTCCTTATTGACTTTAACCTATCTTCACAAATTCAATAACTGTTTAATTTTTATTTTGGAATTTGTTAATCCTCAAATATTTGTAATTCATGATTTTGGCTTCATCTTTAGGCGTAAAAATCCCATAATTACTTCTTTTGCCCCCAATCCTGTGGCGTTCATGCCCATAATGGCAGTAATAAGTCTGTCAGCCAATAACATGTGCTTTTTATAGCCAATGGCTGATCTCTGATAGACATAAATACTAAATGTGGTCTGGGTTTATAATGGACAAGCACGGAAAATAATTCATGAAATTTTTTTGTGATTTTTTTTTTTTTTTTTTACCCCTCACTTGTACCGAATCCTAAACAAGAACCAATTAAACCCCACACAGAAATCATCATCAGAGATGGAGGAACTGACCAGCAGATATTTAGAAAAATTGGCAGATTGATTGATAGTGGTAAGCTCTGTCAATATGATAAGTTAAAGTTTCACATTTGCTGGGTAAGCTAACCAGGCATAAACTGGTCGTAGTGTTAAGGTAATTTGTAGGTAAAACAACAAGTTGGCATTTTGGAGAGCGGATAATTACTCGGATAATTACTCGGCCCTCATAAGGCTTTTTCATGCCTCATATACTTCAGATTAGGTCGGGAGGGGTGTGGCCTTCCAACCAATTAACAGGTGATCCTAAGGGGGTATACTCCGCTCCCTCAATGTCTTTTGTATCATTGGAGGTGTTGTGATGGGGAGGCATGTCTTATTTTGTCACAAAGTTCCTGTTTAAAGCTGTTCGCCCTTGGTTTGTCACAGATAGAATTTATGAGTCACCTTTTCTGCTTTACTTATAATAGTGCTGTGTTTTAACATTAGCTGATATCAAAACCGCAAATTTGCTTATTTTATGACATAACAAGTGACAGGAAAAATATTCATTTTAAACCTGCTCGTAAACCATCTCATGACTTGCAAAAAAAATTCAAATCATGACAATAAATCTACCTTCAAAATAAGACCATTCATTGTTTACTGAATGATCCGTTAATCTGCCGTACAAGTGTGAGTTACTTCAGCTGAATCATTGTACAGGAAAAAACAGCACCTTTCCAAACACAGGTAGACATATTTAATCTTATGAAATGTAGACACTTTTTAACGGTATCTATTTGCATTTTTGCATTGAATTCCATCACTATATACATTATATTCTGATGTAAATTTATTAGAAACAAGAATTTTAAGTGGCATTATTTCTCCTGATATAACGTTGTATGCTAGATTTGTATAAGGTGACAAGTTTTGTGTTGAGAGGTGAAATATTTCGTCTGATACATTGCTATTGTCCTTGTGATGGATCAGTCATATAAATAAACTTGACTCATTAACTTCAGACATATTGTTTCTAAATTGTTCCGTACCAGAAACATTCACATATATCCTTTTGTTGTCATTATTCTTGTGCCCGAAAATATCAATTTTATTACCTCTTTTATTGCATACCTGAATTCTTGTGTACAATTAGATGTACACCTTCCAATCACAACCAAGTCAATATATTTGCTTTCATTTTGAACATTTTTTTTATTTCATAATTTTTTTATCTATTTTGATAAACACTAAATAATCAAATGTTTTCAGTTCCCAAGGAAGAAAATAGACTTTTTATTTGGCCTAAAATCAGAAACCCATGATGCCCACAATTATCGGGATTTACGTTAGCCTTCAGGAAGTGGGTTAATTTGTTTGTAATTACTAACACTGTACAAAGAAGACAGGAAGTGTATTTCTAGGTAATTTTAAGGGTTGATCGTGAATTAGTGATGAAAGTGTTCCACTCCTTTTGTTTAGTAATATGTAGCTTCCTGTTGGGAGTGAGGCCAGGTAATTTGAGAAAAGGCTGCTTGGATTAATTGTTACATTTTTACAATGTTTTATTGTTTACAGATAAACAACAGGAGCTTGATGTACCAACATTTAAGGTAGAAGATCATAAGGATCAACCAATCAGAGAGGAGAAAGAGGAAACGCCAGAATCTGAACGAAGGCCGATGACAAAAATAACAGGTGTCCGCAAATTAAAGCACGCCAACAGTTTCACAGGAATCGTACCGAAGTTTGGTGTGGAAACAACACACCAAGAGGACCTCAGTCAAGTAAATGTTTTTTCAACATCTAGATTCTTTAACTCAAAGAGGCATAACTGAACTTAAAGAGGCATAACCTATACATATAGCTAACAGTCTTTGCTAACAGATAAGCTCTATATTAACAGAAAATCTGCAAGAGAATAATTGCTTACTTAATTCAAAATGTCAAACAGTTACAGTAGAGGTTCAATATAAATAGTATTCAACACCAATAAATAGCACCCAGTGATGAAAATTGTTGCCATGTTTTGTCATATTGCATATTTCATTTAGATTCCTGCTATAAAAACCATTGTAAATGATTAAATATGATTATTACTTTGCAGTGCCTTGAGAACATTAACATATGGGGTGCTGACCTTTTCAAAATATCTCAATTCTCCAACAAACAACCTCTTACCTGTGTAACCTATATGATATTCCAGGTGAGTTTCAAAAAGTAGTTAGTATTCATATTTCAGTAAAAACAGTAATACACCAGCAATATGAAAACTAGGTTTAAGTATGACGGAATAATCAAATGATCTTGTTATATTTATATTAGTACATTAAATATCTTACTTTAGAGCGATGGACTGATCTTACTTTAGAGTGATGGGCTGATCTTACTTTAGATCTATGAACTGATCTTACTTTAGAGTGATGGACTGATCTTACTTTAGATCTATGGACTGATCTTACTTTAGAGCGATGGACTGATCTAACTTTAGAGTGATGGACTGATCTTACTTTAGATCTATGGACTGATCTTACTTTAGAGCTATGGACTGATCGTACTTTAGATCTATGGACTGATCTTACATTAAGCAGGTATGTTATCTGACATGCCCCAACACTATCTTACCAATAAGTTGTCAGCAGAAGCACAGGTATATTACAACCTGAAACTAAACAGAAAATATACCTGGCGTATCAGGAATTATTGAACGATGTGTTAATTACTCTTTTCTGCTCAGACTGTGAAAATAGCATCAACTTCAACCTATTATATATCACGTCGGTCTAACCAATTTTTTTTTTTTTTGCAGGAACGAAATTTAATGAAAACGTTTCAGATCCCCAACACAACTCTAGTCACATATTTAATGCATCTTGAGGATCATTACCACGCAGACGTACCCTACCATAATTCCATGCATGCAGCAGATGTCGTACAATCCACACATGTTCTTCTCTCCTCACAGGCTCTCGAGGTAAGGACATACAACGTTGGTTACCTGTTATTATCTGTCACATTGAAGTGACAACAGTGATAACCTGTTATAGTCTGTCACATTGAAGTGACAACAGTGTTTACCTGTTATTATCTGTCACAGTGAAGTGACAACAGTGTTTACCTGTTATTATCTGTCACAGTGAAGTGACAACAGTGTTTATATGTTATAGTTAGTCACATTTAAGTGACACTAGTGTTTACCTTTTATAGTTAGTCACATTGAAGTAACAACGTTAGTTACCTGTTATTATCTGTCACATTGAAGTGACAACAGTGTTTACCTTTTATAGTTAGTCACATTGAAGTAACAACAGTGTTTATCTGTTATAGTTAGTCACATTGAAGTGACAACAGTGTTTATCTGTTATAGTTAGTCACATTGAAGTGACAACAGTGTTTACCTGTTATAGTTAATCACATTGAAGTGACAACAGTGATAACCTGTTATAGTCTGTCACATTGAAGTGACAACAGTGATTACCTGTTATAGTTAGTCACATTGAAGTGACAACAGTGTTTACCTGTTATAGTTA